TCTAAACGAAAAGGGAACGAATTGAACTGAGAGCTTTGGACAGTTTAGTGTTACCCCATTGCAAAATTCAACCCTTGCATTGTCCTCTCTGTGGTTAATATGCAATCTTCAACCCCTTTTTTCCTTAACTTTTAGGGAGGTTCGCGAGTGCCTCAAGCTTGATCAAGATCACAAAGATTGTTTTCCTTTTTACAAGGTAAAACAGCACTTTCCATCACTTTGCCAAATTGATTTGACCCTTACAATTCCAGCTCCTTTCCAAGAATTAAAGCTCCTTTTCGGCATCCACCCTTCCACTCCCAATAGTAATGGAGACGTAATTTCTCCTCACAATATCCATTTGAAATTAAAGAGATTTGTGATGAGAATAAAGAAGAACATCATCTGGGGAATACTAGCCAAGAAAACACCACATTGCTTGCCTGGGCCTCGATCCAGGACTCCTCGATAGGAAGTCCAGCGCGCGAACCATTTGGCGGACGCGTCTCCCACACCGTCTTACACTGATCCAACAAAATTACACTTATGAACACTTAACACTCGACAGAGCAGTAGGTTTTGGTAGAAAAGAACGGCATTACCTTTAATATTAGCTAGCGGATAATTGTTAGCCAACCAGATGAAAATTTTGCACCCTTTTTCCTTTTGCAGAAATTAAAAAAATTGAATAAGCAGATGCAAGCCGCTCAAGATTTGATCAACAAAGGAGAGTACGTACCTCTGTCTTTAACTCCCTCTACAATTTCTTAAAGGTAGAAAGAAATCCTAGAACAATTGTTTCCTAGGATATGCGAAGATTTGAGTCATAATGATAGGCCAAAACGGAAGGAAGATCTCTTAGGATGTAAAAGATTTTCGCGGATTGTCAATATCGTACTTGAAAATTTTTTGCCCACCTGTTTCCTTCTTATATGAGGGTTTTTTTTTCATCTGTGGTTTTCTTCATTTTGCTATTCCCATGCATTTCCTTTCTATGATTTTCCTTTTCAATAAAGTTTCCTGTCTTCTTTACATTCCAGATATGAAGAAGCTATATCCAAACTCAAACAGGCTCTCAAAACAGAGTCTAAAATCCCTTCACTAGCAGCCAAGGCAAGACGCCAGCTATGCCACTGTCACCTCAAGGTTCGTTCAGTAAAAGTCCTTTTCTCTCTCGTTATTAACAGGACTGTGTTTGCTAGAATTTTGTTTAAAAAAAATAAAAACAGCAGAGAGCTGTTCAGTAAGGACCAGGCCAGTAGGTAGTGGCCATTAGCAGTGTCACTTAGCAACACGATGAATGAGAGTGATCAGATTTTCTTTGTCTTCTGATTGGATAATAAAAGTCGGTAGGTCTTCGGAAAATTTTACGAAGATTATGTCGAGATTACGTCCTTACAATTTGAGTTCATTGCTTCGTCTCGTTTATTTTACGTGAATTCTTTCATATCTGTTTCTCTTTATAGCTTCATAATCCCACCGATGCCATCACAGAATGCAACGAGGCGTTGAAGATCGATGAAAATGACGTTGATGCGTTGTGTGACAGGGCAGAAGCACATATACTAAATGAAATGTATGATGACGGTATGGAATTCTCGTCTTTTTTACCACCAATTCACCGTTCAGAGCAACGAAGGTTTCTTTTCATATTTGTTTTTTGTTGTGATATCGGTATTCGCATATTTCCTTCGGTTGGTTACTTGTCGAGGCCGGAAGTTCGAAAAAATAATTTGATATCGAACTTGTTTAATGTCACGCAACGTAGTGTATATTACGCTGTTTAGTTTCTTGTCACGTGCACTTCATTTCACGTGAAGTTTCGAGCAATCTGATTGGCCAAAAAAAGAAGAAAACCATCAAACTGATACCTAGCTTTTGGGAGGCCAAATTTGTCACGGTTTTGTGTTCATTTTATTTACCAACCTCTTGGTTTCATCCGCAGCTGTAAATGATTATCAGAAGGCAAAGAGTATCAACGAACACTTACACAAGGTAAGGTGGTCAGCGTTATTCTTCTGCTTGCAACGGCTAGCTTGGATGTCTCGTAAATGAACGGTACTGATAAAATAATTTTAAGTTGAATGTCGATAGCAATACGGGCCTACATTGGTTTTACATAATTTCGCTCAGTGATTGGTTTAGGAAACTCCCTCAACTTTCCTTATCAGATAAAAAATTGCAACAAATCGCGACTTAGTGAGCTGCGTTTTCCCGCGCCTGACGCTGGCTACCACTGCTTAGTCTGACTTTTCATTGGTTCTTACTGAAATGGTCCTTTGCTCTGATTGGCCATTGAGATTTCTTTCGTTTTGTTTGTGCCACGCACAGTTGAAATGGTAATTGATGGAGACGTAAGAAGATGAGGTTTGTTAAAGTTCGATGTGGATGGGAAAGGAATGGGTTTCTAGCTTGTTGAAGTACGATTAACCTAGGTTCTGGCACAAACCGAAGGATTTTATTTCAAGAGTCGCCTAGCAGTGGTTTCGCCTGGGAACTTGCAGTAGTTGTTTTTCAAAATGCAATACAGTACGTCTAAACCAGAGAACCGCTTTACGTAGTCGTCAGTAAGAATCTCTTAATGATTGGAACAAGATTATGGTACAAATCAATACGACATATTTGTTTTCATTCGTTTATTGTTGTTGTTGTTGTTGTTGTTTTTTTTTATTTAAACCGAGTATAGGTTCAAGAGGGACTGGACAGAGCACAGAAATTACTTAAACAATCTAAGAAACGGGACTATTACAAGATCCTAGGATTGAAAAGGTGAAGTCTATTCTTATGTACATAGTTGGTAGAATGCCCGATTCAGAACTAGTAATAAAAACAATTAACGCATCTGGTGAATCTTTTTCTGTTCTGTGTGGTTTCAGAACGGCATCGAAGAAAGAAATCTTAAAATCATATCGTAAACTGGCCGTCAAGTGGCATCCTGATCAATACAAAGGAGACGACAAGAAAAAAGCTGAGAAAATGTTCATCGATGTCGCTGCAGCGAAAGAAGTCCTCACAGATCCTGGTAAGCTAAATAGCCTCGTTTGTACTGTCTGTTCTTTCCTCCGTTCGTTTGAAAGGTTCGTCTGTTATTCATTCGGTCGGCTCCGTCGTTTGTATGGTCGGTCGGAACGATCGCTCGGTCGGTCCGTCGTTTGTCCGTACGGTCGGTCCGTTCGTTCGTTTTTACGGTCGGTCTGTAGTTTGTTTGTTCGGTCAGTTGGTCGGTTGATCGTTCTATCTTCGGTTTGGTCGGTCGTTTGGTTGTTATTTGGATTGTTCGTTTTCACAGCATGACTATATTCGTTTGTTTGTTCATTTGGTTCAGTGTTCTCTTTTTCGTTTCTTCGTACAGTCATCGATCCGTCTTTGTTCGTTTGTGATCGTCCGTGTTCTCGTTCTTCCGGTGGTTAGTTCGTCCGTTCGTTTTTTTTTGCTCGTTTGTTTGTTGTTTTCATGCCTGATTGTACCCACCTCGAATGTTACTGTCTGAAATGTTGCTATGAATAATGTCGCCACCCTGCGATGAAAACTGATGACGGAAAGACTGAAAACATTGTGGTCTTAAAACTTTGCTAATAACGACCTCTACCCCTACCCCCCCTTAATTTTTTAGTTCATTTAGTTGTATAAGTGTGGGTGAGTCATAGGGTGGGGCCACAAAGGTCGCTGACTGGGAACGAAAGGGAGGTGAAGGTAAATTGAATTCACGATTTTTTATCTTCATTTTCAAATAGAAAAACGCGCAAAATACGACAATGGTGAAGACCCGTTAGACCCAGAACAGCAAGGTGGCGGTCATCATCATTGGCAACAGGGCGGATTTCCTTTCGGTGGGGGCTTTGGAGAAGGTTTTCAGTTCAAATTTCATTTCAACTAAAACAACATACTGGCGTTTCGTGGGTTCAATTACTAGTTCTATCTTTATGGCGACTGTGGAATCCATGTTGAACAGGAAACCGAAGGAAAAAGTTTCAAAGCGGAAGATTTACTATTTATGGCAATTATAATTATTATAACTGTACACAATTGTAATAATTATAACACTCTTAGGATATATTCAACTCGCTCCGATGTGAATGGTGACTAAGAAATTACTGAATGGAACAGCTACTTTGGTGTGATCTGCCAAAGTTGAGGTTGCGCAGATGAAATGTCATTTTCTTTGCAGTCCTTCTAAGATGATATTGAACTGACTTTAGCGCAACTTTTCGCATTTAAGGTTCATATCCAATTTGTATAGAAAGGTTTTGAAATTCTCTCCAGAAATAGTTGTATTCGTTTTATGATTAAATTTAACATGTGGATATTCCTACGATTTTCACATTGAAGAAGAATTGTTATTACCTTTGTGTGGCCTGGAAGTGGAGACTGGAAACCAGAATAGCGGGTTGTATTTTTTAAACGTTTTTATCCTTATGGTAGCCTCAACTGGTCCAAAGCGACAATTTTTGAAAATCTTGACCGTTGCTCAGCAACTGACGATAACGTCACCAAATTTAAAATTACACTTAACACCGGTAATAATCGATGTGAAACAGACTTTTATTCTTCACTGACATTTTCTTTCGTCGTTAGTCAATACGTTTTTGAGCAACGACCACAGTCAAGCGAAGAGGTGAAATTTCGTCGAGCATATCTGTAATAACCTCACCTTGGGCGGAAAAAATCATCTTGTGCGTGTATTTATAGCTGTAAAAATCAACAGTTTCGGGTATTTTAGAATGAAATTACAGGAAATGAACTTTTTGTGGTGTCTTTCCTTGATCATGGTTAAGGTTGGGAAATCAGCGACCCAGGCTCCACATCTGGAGGACGATCACTCTCATACCAGGTTTAGACGTTCTCAATCTCGTTCACGGAGTTCTCGTTGCCTTGATCAGCGGTTAGGAAAGAGAGATCCTTACGCGCCCATGCCGCTAATAAAGGATAACGGAGACTCGGGGAATGAGATTGAGAATGTCTAAAGTTAAAAGCTGGTATGTTCTTCTCGAGACAGCTGCATGAAGTATGGCAGCACAAGATCAGAGATGGTAAAATATATTTTAATGGCACTCTAGACTCTAATCACCACAATCATACAAAATACATTGAAAAGGGAACAGGGTGTGACCAAAAAAAAAACACACTTCCCCCACCCTTTCAAATTTTCTTGACAGTTGCTAAGAAAAACCCTATCCCCAGGGTCTCTCTTCTGATCGACCCAGAAACGCAGTCAACTGAACAACTTATTAGTCACGTGTAATCGTCTGATTGGCTCATAACAACTATTCCCTTTGGAGTGACGTCATGGGAGTGTGAGACAACCATCCAATCAAAGAGAAAGCTTCTTGGTTTGGCCAATTCAATTTAAACAGTCCAGGAGAACTTTATTATACCCAACAAATGTAGAAAATTCCTCTGTAACCCAAATGCAACTTTATGATACTTTTCAGGAAAGGCTTCAATACAAAATTATTTTCTGGAGAAAGATAAATACTTGGTTAGATTTTTTCTGTAGAAAAGTGTTTTTATATTAGTTCACGATCATCATATGTCAAGTCTCTCATGGTTTCGTCAGAGCTTATGAGCTTTAACGTCACAATTTACACTTGACATTTCGCAAGACTTATCGAGCGCGCTTCAGTCGTCTTCTATATCGGAGAAGTCGTCATGCGTAAATGCCTGTATGCGTGTGGACTGGGGCTGAGGTCTTCTGAACTCCAACACAGGACTTTGTCGGCCAGTGGATTGGGACCCACCTGCAAAAAAAGCAAAGCTCTTGCAGTCTCTCCTAAGCATTTTGGTTGCGAAAGAGGCGGACTAAGCGGCACTACTCTTAAGCGTTCAGCGCTGGTCCAGGATTTAAAGGCTGACGTTGTCGTCTATCTCCTAAAACTTCTATGAAGTCAAACGTCTCGTGGAGTTATACCTTACGTTGCTAAACTCCTCTGAAAAGCCGTAAAACTATCTCGACCCTCTCTACTAAACTCAGGTTAGCCTAATCCTTATTTTTGAACAACCTGGCCCTGAAGAAATCATAACAAGACATAACGGTTAGCAGTTAGGTCAGACACCTAACGGGTAGCGGTTCATTCTACAGAACAGAGGTGAAACCTTAGGCCAGAAAGGGTTAAAAAAAGGCACCAACTCACCTGGAGGCTGCAGATTCCTCCTTCCAGAATCAAATGTCCTGTTAATTAAAAACAAATGATAGCTAAGGTGCACGGCAAGCATCAAAGTAAGAGTATTGCATGACGCTTTAGGAGCGCGCACAAAGAAAAACGACATCCATGAAGATTTTTCTCTCGCGCGCGCTTCGCAGGAAATTAACCCTACCCTCCCCTCCCCTCCCCCCCTGAAAAACTGAAGCATGGTAAATCAATCAATTGGTAAGGTTATAAAATTCTTACCCTCTACCGGGTGTCTTTTCTTCCAAAGAGGATATAGATAAATCGCTGTCGAAATCATCGTCATTCTACGAGATAAATCACATAAAAAAGACATCAAATTCTGGAGGTGTGAAAACACCACAGGATGGACTCAACATATCACAACTTAACAAGAAATCCTCATCATGAAGGGAGAGTTTTCCCACGAGCGCATACTCTTTACCTTTCGTCCCGATGACTGCTGAGCTGTAGCGCGCGGAGGCTCACTGTTATCGTTACCATTCCCCTGGAAGTGAAGAGAGACTCCGCCAGCGGGTTTCTTAACAGCAGATCCGAAGTTCAAGCTACGCTCAAGAGTTTCGGTCAATTCACGAACCTTAAAAAAAGACAAAAACAATGAAGATTGGTTTGAAGCACTGTGAGGATAAAGGGGTTATTGACCTGAGCAAAACACATTGATCTCGGCAAGAAGTGGAGCCCTTCGCCCTCAGCTGTCTCCTTCGCGCTGAGTGGTACATAAGGCCGTTAACTTGAGTTGGCGACTTCACAAGGCGGTGAAGCTTGTGCGATCAATGACCCTGAGGGGACAAGGACTTTGGCACCTGGAAGATCTCGGGTCATCATTCAAACATCCTTGTAAACAACACCGTCAAACGGAATGAACAGTAAGCTTGAAAGAATAAAACTCACCTTTTCACCGCGCGGAGCAGCCCTAGGAATGGTTTTAACGGGAGCCAACTATATTATGAAGCACAAAAGAATTAGCAGGTTAGGCTGCAGCCATGTAAACAGACGCCACGTGAAGCTGAGATGTATCATAGCATAAATATTTTTTAAATATATTATATAGCACAAGATAATTAGCAGGTTAAGCTGCAGCCATAACAACAGATACCAGATTGGGCTGGAATGCACCACCGCATAAATATTTCCGCCCTAATCGTCATTTTTTCAAGGGCGTGTTCGACCCTCATCTTCCCTCACGCACTCAGAACTCACACGCGTGCTCCGCCTTGTCCTCAAACTCGCAGGTCTGCTCCCTCGCGTTTATTCTACATGTGTCCTCTCACCTATGTATCGTCTTCAACGCGCGTCTTCCTTCGCTCACCTCTCGCGCACCTCCATCATTGCACGTTCTCGTCCTCTGCAAGTCTTTTTCTATCCATCTAGCCCCTTACACATCACAGTACAAGTTGTAACCTACACCACCACTGCTCTCGCTAATTTTTTTTCAATACCTGGCGTACCTCTTCAATATCTGAATCCGATTCTTCGTCCTGTTGCGAGGGAATGTGGACTGCCACTTTGTGTGTCGGCTGAGTGGGTGGTTTAACGGCTTCTCTATAACGAACGCAAACAACGAAAAAACAAAAATCGCCAATAAGTCAACAATAGCATGCATCATTACTTGGAAGCCTAACACCACATTTCGACAAAAAATCTTTGGAATTGTTCCAGCTCCTTCCCTCCCTCTGAACGAATCGTTTCTGAAGTGAAATGTAAATTAGGGAAATAAGACGTGAGTCAACTTAAGGTGAGCTGTTTTCATGAAGGAAGAAACGTTAAAATTTGGGCATTCAGGAGTAAAACGAACAAGCTACGTTGCAGTCAAGTTCTTGCTGTACTCACTCCTCTGAGTCCCAATTGGACTCCTCTTCGTCTTCTTCTTGATCTTCCTCTTCTTCCTCTTGTGATCCTTCAGTCACGCTCACTTCCTCTTCAGACTCGCTCAGTGTCCGCTCTGTCACGACGGAAGTGCCAGAGAAAGAGCCGTCTGTGACGGAAGTAACGCTAACTGTCATGTCACCTCCACTGGTTGATCTGACAAAAACAGAAAGAAGCAATTCTAATTCTGACAGAAATATTCTAGAGAGTAGCTGCCCATCAGAGGAACCAAGGCAACAGACGCATCGTTAAGGGCGTCACCAGCTGTGCTCGCTTAAATCTTACCCAGTAGACACCAAGGTTCCTCTCGAAGCTGGCGACTTCCGGCCTTGCTGCAGTGAAGTGGAAGTACGCACGGCAGTTGCAGTGGACTTGAATGTTGGAGGTTTATCCTTGTGGGAACGGTAATCGGGACCTGGACCAGCGGGAACTACAACGAAAATTACACGAGACTATTTATGTCCTTCCTGCCAAATATTACCCAGCATTGTTGGGGGTTCTGTTGGTTTATTGTGGAAGTCATAACGAGTTTAAAATTTCACTCATACCTGATGAGCCTGGTTTCCCTGTGGAAGTTCCACTGCGGTAGGTCTTCTTTACGATTTCTTCCAACTCTTCCACACACCTAAAGAAATCAAAGTGTGAAAACTAGGCCCGCAACACGTAAACAAGACGATTCAATTTAGCAGCTTGCATGGGGTCTCCATTAAACATTATAACAACAAAAAGGGCGAAAAGTTTTCCCTTACCTTTGTCTAACTGCGGCGAAGTTCTTAATTTTCTGGAAGAAAGATAATGGAGACAACATGAAATCTATGGAAAACTTAGGGAGAGAAAACAAGGCCTTGAAGAAAACAAAAATTAATGGTCTACACTGTAACCAATGCTACTCACCTTACTCCTAGCTTGCCTCTCTGTTCTCAGTGCCGCCATCTTGGCTTCCATTTTCTGTGAAGACAGTCTTGGATTTTCCTTTAATAAGAAACAAACACATGTTTTTAAAATCAGTCCTTCGCCCAATATAAAAGCAATCCTCAATTTCGTTTGCAATGTCGAAGACTTGAACACTAAGACTAATTTTACTTACCGAAGACAGGCCTTGCTTAGAGAGTTTTTGGTCCAATATCTGAGCAATTTCTTGTCTTCCCGCCTGTACTTCATCGAATTTGTGATTAAATCGAGCTGGATACGGAAGAAAAGTTTAAAAAAATGGTTGACGATATGTCAGAAGTCAACCAATTGCACTTACCACAAAAACACTGTTTATTCAAATTTCTGATTATTTTCCTGTTGGCTTTAAAACTGTAAAAACTGCAAAGCCACCTCTAAGTTGATTGGTTGAGACGAATTTGGAAAACAACAAATAGCGATCGACTTAATCATGAAAATGTAGAAGCAAGTTAAATAACGTTTAATTTATGTAAATAACATAATTAAGCGCGTGATATTTGCATAGTTAGTGCACCGCTGACCGAAAGAATACAAGAACTTCTTACTTGTTATCAGCCGATTATGAGGAATTGGATGGAACTCGCCTGTTTCTAAAGTGGTAGTACCCTATAAGAAAGCACACACACAAACAAACGAACAAACAAAATAAACGTTTTTGTTACATTGTTATAAGAATCAGTCCTACTAAGTTTCAAATTCAACAAACAAAGAAGGCTGCACAAAAAAACAAAAAAAAAACTTACCCACTCAGAGCTGGAAAGGCCTCTGCGGAAAAAAAGATGTTTGTCAAAATTTGGCTTTCGTTAACAAAGATATTTACTAAAGACACTCAAAAGTTGATGGATCGTACAGAAATAATTGTAGGGCCATTTCATAGCTTCCACTACTGTTGAAAGTACAGTGGAATAGGTGTACATGCCACTTACACATAAAAGAGGAGTTTAAAACATAAAAGGCACTACACAAAAAAAAGGAAGTGTATTTTAAAGTGCTTGTAGCATTTTGTGCAGAACGAAATTTGAAACTGATTTGATGCAGTAAAAAAACCCTCGCTATTATCGGTTAAACCATCAGTCTTTTCTGCGTTTCTTAAAGATGCGAACAAGAAAACGAAAGAGAGCAATTTGTAATTGAGTGTCAAAAATGATCAGAGACTGCATTACTTTTGCTTTCCTTCGCTCTGTGATTGGTCTAAAAAACTCATGCCACTCTTTCGACCAATCAGATGCAAAACTAACACCAATCACAACTTGGTCGCCCGTAATTTCCCGCGCTTTAGGAAGTTTGGTCGGTTCTACTGTATTAGAATAATTCTACTGTATTATCCTGTCTTCCGATTGGCCGTTGCGATTACTTTGGTTTTGGTTTTACGACACTCGGTCAAAAAGCGCGGGATTCCAGCACGGACGCGCACCATACTTCAAATGATGAGCCAACAAAAGTACTAAAAAGCCAGAACAGGAAACTTACGAAGTGATCTCTCTGACGTCATCATAACTTCCCGTGCTGTCATTTGCATCAACATCTTCAACTTCACTTGGGAAAATAAAGGCATCAAATGCATTGAGAACAACCCTCTAAGCTAATTTTGAAGGTGAATTTATCGTAGAGTTTACAAGTTCAAATAAAAAAATGAAATGGATGAAATTGCTAGTTGGCTCTAACTTTTGGGTCAGCGGATGAAAGCAAGAGTGACGCTTCATATTAAAGCTACTGAACAATACATTCATGTGCACTGTTTACTACACAGTGCGTAGTGGTTTATACCTTTCACAGGTTTTCAAATCTAGATTATTCATACTTACACTTTTGGTACTACAGGGACTGGAGACTCTTCTTCCGATTCAGATTCACTGGGTTCAAAGTCTGCAATAGACAGTAAACAATTCAGCTTCAAGAAGGGATGACGGCGTAGTATGTCAACCCCAGAGAATGGAAGAAATTCGTCATTGCATAAAACAACAAAGCAAAGATAAAGAACTGAGGAAAATCAAGGTTAAGTCACACCAGAGGTAATTCAGCTCTAGTTTGAAAAAGGAGGCTGAAATACATGCAGAGAGAACGAAAATAACTTATATTAGCGATATTCCATTCCAAAAGTTTAATGCCCATGTAAATTCCCTTCCTCGTAACTTTCACATCTCTCACGGTTTCATGGTGAAATGAAAAGCTCTTCAACTCGTACTTGGCCTGACGATAAAAGACGACTGAAACTCGTTGCAAAGGAACTTTTCCTCCACTAGTTCCCTCGTTTGACTTCCATGAATATGTTTAAGGGATAGAGAAAAAACAAACCTTGCTCTTTGTCCTCCGTCAAAGTAGATTCAAATGATGCAGAAATACTTGTCACTGAAAATAGAGGGAACCCATTTTTTAACATGCTCATTACAGTTGCTGTTTACAAGCAAATCAAGCAGAAATTAAGAAGTTTTCTTTTTTCTGATAGACATCTTGGAATACATGAATCTACATACCCTTGACATATGCATAAAAATAACGTTCAATTAACGAATCAAATTGAACTTGACTCTACCACGACTTGGTCAACCGCGTTTTCCCGCCCATGAACCGCTTATCTGTTTCTGGACTGAATTCTCATTGGCTCCTTGCGATATTTTCCTTTGTTCTGATTGGCTGATGTGATTCTGACAACGGTGACTCTTTTGACTTAGTCCGCGTTTTCCCGCGCTTGGACCGCTTACTTGTTCCTTCTTTGAAATCTCATTGGCAACTTGCCCTACTTTCCTACCTTTTGATTAGCCGATGTGAAAACCTTTGTTCTGCTTTCCAAACGCTCAATCGAAAAGCATACTACTGAGCACACTCGAAGTAAAAGAAATGTCCAGACTACCCGAAGCTACTAAGACGCAATTGGTTCTACTTTTGCATTCGATTTGTCGCTAGAGTGGCGCCTAATTACCTCGAACTGCTTCCATTTAACTATGTTTCAGTAGTTCCCAATACTCACGCGTTTTGTCACTGACCAGAGTTGATTTTGGAGCATAAAATGACAATCCGTTATGTCTCCATCCCGGGACACTGTTGGTCCGAGACACATACGATCTTATCACGGGGATACTTCCGGCCTCCAACACATGATACTGCAGAGTACCAGGGAGGAATGTCTGAGAACAATAGAACATGTAATCCAGGCGATACTCCGGGCTGGGAGGTGACGATTTATCCGATACATACTGTCGCCAGTGAGGGGACCCCCCTGCGGCAAACACGTACACCGGGTAAGTGAAATTCCCTGTGGGTTTTATAAAGGCGGAAAGAGCGTACTTGTTGGACCATTCGTTAGATCCGTCGGCTGTTTGGCGCCATAAGCGATATTGGCCGCTCTTTTTTTGGTTAGTCGCCACGTAGAGCGTGATTGATTCTGCTCCTAAAGAATTAGTAGCACAAAAATATGTTAATCTCTTTATATTTCTATCTCACGGATTACGAAGAGTCAGTGTCGAAAAATTCTAGGCAAACGTTGCGGCAGAAATTGAAAGATCAGTTTATCTTAACTGTTACACTATAACAAGCAAGAAAACACGATTAGTGGAGCATTTATCCATTAGAAACACTTTTTTCCGAGTTCGGCAGGGCTGGCTGGACCAAAGACTCAAACCGAGATTTCTACCGATGAACTCTTTCACTAAAAGATAATCTTATTTCAAGTCTTACGATTTACCAAATGTTAACAGTTCCCAAAGGAAAGCTGATAAAGCTTCCAAAGGAAAAACTAATATCCTGCCACACGAAGCCACAATGTATATGATACTATAATTTCGTGATTTTGAAAAACCTTTGATTATGCAAGGATGACCAAACGCTCAAATACTGTTCAGTACCTGTCTTAATACTTTTGTCGGGAGAAGTGGCACGTTCTCTTTCGGGTGGTTCAGCTGTTGAAATAACACAATAACAGACAGTCAAAATATCAGACGCTCTGAACTCCAAATCGGTCGGTGAGTGTTTGAACCCTAGCCCAACTAGCTAGATGAGCAGAAATACGAAATTTACAACTTTCGGGTGAAACCTCTCTCTTCGGGACATTATATGCAAGGGGAAGGGAGTCCCCCCCACCTCCCCCCTGAAAGGCCCACTAGGGGGCGCCATCTTTGATTATTCTCTGTAAAACCAAGATAACGGACCTTGCACAGGTTTCTCGATGTGTCTTGGAGCGGGCACAGGAGGAGTAGAAGCTGTGGATGAAAAAGTATCAGAATTCACATATCAGTTTTCTATGCTCACGGAGAAACACTGGCCTGTGACGTAAACCACTGCACCGACCAGTTTACAAATCAAACTGTAAAAATAATTAATACAATTTTTGAGTTTGTTTGACTGGATAAAAATGTGGGAACGTACCAAGTAATGGTGGCGGTTGGGTTTTGAAAGAATACTGGACTTTCTCTGTCTCCACCTGAAGTGAGAAAATATAAAACAAAATTTAATTATAATAATTCTGCATTTTAAAACAAAGGAAGCTTAAAGAGCCCCCCTTTATGTTGGAGAAACTTGTTGCAAAAATAACGTAGGTAGTTTGGATGAGTGATTCGGGCGTCTCGAATTCAAATCTTCCACCCTGTGTGTCATTGGATTTGTTCCCAATTGCCGCAAGTTCAAGTTCCTTAGCTGCATGCTGTGAACAGCGAACTCTTCTGCCTCCTGTCAGTTGTCATTTTAAACTAATTGGGAATATTTGTTTTAATGTTTGTTTACATTAGTCCTAAACAGCTCACCTTTTGTGCATCCAGTGCATTTCTTAGCTCTTGAACTTGCTGGAAAAGATGTTTTTAAAACATTTTCAAAGATTATCACTAATAAATTCTACCACGCACAGTCATCAATTGATCACGGACGGATGCACTGTCCATCTCATTCAACAACTAGAATTGATTATCATGGATCTTCTCCATGTGTTATCAAGACATTGTCTAACAAACTAGTGATGAGGATTATAAACTTATCAGCAACAGGGTAACAGCCTGATAAAATCAAAATTATCTGAACTATTCTTAATAAAATGTAAAGCCATAATAAGAGAGAGGGCTGCAAATTAGATCCTGGGGGTTAGAAGGTTAAGGGAGATTTCTTACAATATTTTGTGTCATTCTTTGTGGCATGCAAAACTATCTTCAACTCAAAGGGAGACTATAAAATATGATATTGGAGCATTTTCTCTCCATCATTTGTTCTGACAAAGGTTTTGTTCTTACAAACTCTTTGACTCTTTTTAACATTATCAACTCAGTTGATAAAACAAATTATCTTGTTATACTCTCCCACCATCCCAGAACAACTGTTTCTTTAGAAACTTTGCCCCTAAAAAATATTGGTTTGCTAAGATAAAAAACAAACAAAACAAACAAAACAAACAAACAAACAAACCAAAAAGGGAAAGTTACAACCGAAAAGGAACAGGGATAGCTGAAGATGGACAAGATTAAAAGAGGCTGAAAATAAACAACTTGAAAACTGCAACCTTAAAAAAGTCAGATCATATTTCCAAATGTTAGATAAAGAGAAGCTATATACATGAACCAGCCAAGTAAGTTTCTCACCCTTTGTAATCCCCCTATTTTGCTTTCATAGTCTTCTGACATCCGTTTCTTCTCTATTCTTTCATTCTGTAGATTTTCTTCATACTGGCCCATCATTTCCTGAAACTAAAGGTACAGGCAGACATGTTGAAACGTCATAATAAACATTGCAGTATTGAAATTTTGTTTCAATTT